GCAAAACCTAGAATCCAATTTGATGTGTATAATCTTTTAATCCTTTGGGGGCATATTTGGTCCTTCTGTTTCTCCACCTCCCTCCTTTGCCTTCAGGCTCCCGACCTTCTCGAAGTCAGGTCGCTGGTCTGTTCCCTTTGTTTAATGCATCGTGTGCTTTCTCTTCCCATCCACATCCCCTCTCATGACAGGAGACATTTCAGGACCCCAGAGAGCCCTGGCTGGCAGAACAAATTGACATGTGGGAGTGTGAGATGCCGTCTTTCAGAAAAAAAGCCAGAGGAAGAGGTAAAAATGGCAGGCTGAGAGAGGAGAAAAAGGAAAAGAGAAAAAAGAAAGAGGACAAGGCAGAGAAGAAAAAAGAAAAAAACAGCAACACCAGCCCTAATCAGATCTCTCCAGACCTGCTGTTGAGCAATTTCTGTAACTGAGAGTCAGGTTTAGAAAAAACCTGGCTGGAACGGTCTTTCCCAACACGGGGGCGAGGTGGGAGCAGAATTACAGGAATACCAGAAGACTTGACTGAGTCGCATCTTAAACGAAGATTTTGTTTCAAAATTATGAACTGGGGGTGTGCGGTGGGGAGAGAAACCTTCCCAGCATCCATCATGTGTTGCTTTCGAAAATTATTATTTTGGAGCACAAGCTGTTTCCTGTCTTTAAAGCCTATTATCTATTTCCCTTCCAGGTGGAGCCTGGGCTGCCTGCTAATTTAATCCCCTGGGCTTCCCCCTCTGCCTTCAAGATCTCACAGAGATTCAGGCTTCCTAAAGAGGGCACCTTTGTGTCTTCCTCCCCTGAAGGCTCCCATCTACCCTGGCAGCCGAGGAGATGCTATTTTGGGTAACAGCAGCTGAGTGGGAAGGATTGTTAATTGTTTGTCAAACCCTTCCAGTCTAGTTAGATCTCACTGAAGAAAAAAAAAAAAAAAAGAACAAAGCCATACCCTTTCCTTCATTCTATGTTACTCTCCCAAAGCGGGGGAGGGGGGGAGTGCGGGTAGGGCCAGAGAGGGGGGTGGGGCTGGGGGGGGGAATAACTGGCTTCCTTTCCTCCTCAAGCACAAACACACAAACTAATGTTTAAAAAAAACTAATTCTTCTAGCCAACTGGAAACACATAAACATAATATTGGCCCAAGAACCAAAGTAGTTTTAAAATCATGTACAAGCCTCAAAACAAACAAACAAAACCAAACAAACAAGCAAAAAAACCCCAAACAAACATAGATCCCATCACAACAAAAGAGACATAGGGGTTCTGCCATCCAGTGGGACCACAGCATTTATTCAAACCACTGAGGCCAAAATGACTAAGCAGATCCCCCAGCCCTGGGCCGGCACCCACTGACACACTAGAAAACAATTCTACCCAGGCACACTAATCAGAACACCCACGGTGACACGCACTTACTCCATCACAGCGTGGACAAATTCAAAATCAAACAGAAAATGACCCACACTGAGAAAGGGCTGCTCAGGACTCTGACCTCAGGCAGGGTCGCCCACGTGACTGAAACTTCCTAAGCATTGCATCAGCCTACTAGGAAAGGGGAGAAAAGACTGGGAACAAAAAATGTTACGCTTCTTAAAAGGGCAATGCCACAAAAACATTTTATAACTATTTTTTCTTCCTTGACCAATTCTCCTAAGGAACGATGTCTAAACTTACTTGACTTTTCAAGAACACTTGTTTTTTTCACAATGATCTTTTTGGTATTTTCCGGGAATGCCAAAAGGAATTATCTCAGTAAGAAAGGAGCTTAACTCAGAGAAATTTATAAGTGATAATGGTTCAGGGGATGGATATGAGCGTGCTGCCTATTTTACAATCATTTTTCCTCAAAAGAGCTCAGACTGCCTTATAAACATAAATTTGCTAATCCACACACTAGCTCCTGGTTAGACAGCAGATCTGAAACTTCCTTTTACACTGGAGGAGGTGTCTGTATAAATACTTACTCAGAATTTGCTTAGTCAAAATGAGCATGAGGGCTTCCCTGGTGGCGCAGTGGTTGAGAGTCCGCCTGCCGATGCAGGGGACACGGGTTCGTGCCCCGGTCCGGGAAGATCCCACGTGCCCCGGTCCGGGAAGATCCCACGTGCCGCGGAGCGGCTAGGCCCGTGAGCCATGGCCGCTGAGCCTGCGCGTCTGGAGCCTGTGCTCCGCAACGGGAGAGGCCACAGCAGTGAGAGGCCCGCGTACCAGAAAAAAAAAAAAAAAAAAATGAGCATGAGATGGGTTAGTGATTTGGGGTTTTCAAACTGAATGAGCATTCGTGTTGAAATTTAGATCAGATGTGTTGATCTAAAATGGACTTGACTGATGAATTAGAATTCGTTCCATTAGCTACAGCAATTAGAAGGGGGAGTGGGGAGATGAAGCAAGACTTTCTTATTGGCTGAAAGAGATATAGCGTGCCCCTAAATGAGGTGCTGATAGCCAGTAGGGTTTTCAGTACATCATAACCAGTAATGTTTAATTAGAACAGAGTAGGCAAGCAACTACTCTCTCAGTAATATATCACCTATTTGTAAATAGCATGGCAACAAAAGCAAACCGTCTATCAAAAACAAAAACCCCTTATTTTATGTGAAAAACAGCTTTTATAGGGAAATGGTAGAGCTTAGGGTCATGAATAATTATGAGCCAGGGTTGTTGCCGTTAGAATAATTTGTCAAGTACTCTTTTCTCCCCCTTCTAGTTAGCTGTGTTCCAATATGTTAGCCTCAAATTTTGGGAACCCATTAATTGGTTTATCAAATAGTTATTGATCCCTTGATATGTACATAGCGATACTCAGCGTTCTGGGTGTAGTGGAAACAGGATGCAAAAAAGTGTAATGGAGCATCTCTCAGCACTTTATATTGTTATGGGGAAATAAATACGTCCACATCAAAGTTAAATAACTAACATGTGAGTAAATAAAATACAAAACTAAAACATAAGGGTATCATAAGATAACAAGTGGTATTGTGGTTTTAAGTAACAAATGAATGTTAGGTTATGAGAGTGTGTGTGCCCAAGGGAACACATTGTAAATACCAGTGGCCGTGGAAGGCTTCCTGGAGGAAATGGTGGTGCAGCGTTTGGGCAGGAGGGGAGAGTGCATTCTGTTGAGGAAGCAGCAGATGAGACATATACTTTTGATTAGACCTGTCCAGCTGATGAAGAGGTGGGGCATTTATGTTGCTCAGGGTAGTAGAAAGGTTCGAAAGACTTGCCTACATTCATTGAATCATAGAATTCTGTACCTGAAATGATCCTAAAACAATCAGCTAGGCCACTGGTTCTGAAACGTGGCTGCATATTGTAATCGCCTACAGAGCTTTAAAAAATCCACTGCCTGGGTCTCACCCCAGAGATTCTGATTTGAGTCAACTGGGGTGAGGTCTGGGAGACTGGATATTTAAGGCTCCCCAGGTGATTCTAATATGCAGCCATCTTCTGAGGACCACTGATTTAGTCCAACTGCCCAATTTTACAAAACAAGGACCACCTGCAAATCTACCCATGCACAGCTGGTAAGAAGCCAGGCTCTGTTCCCCCATTCCAGGCTGTTTGCCTTTAACGATGTATGTAGTACTCTGAAGACCAGGCCAGAGGGTTGGATTTTTGCCATAAAGGTCATGGGGAACCGCTGAAGGTTTTTGTGCAGGAAAATGGCACATTGAAAACAAATGGTCCTGCAATTCCAGGTGGACTTCAGAATTGAAAAGAATCAATGCACGCTAAGAACTCCTGAGAATGAGGCTGTCCAAGTGAGTAGGTTTTCTCTCTGACATTTGTGTGCCTGTTTGTATTTTAAAATAATATTGTGATAATTTATGTGTTGTCACATTCAGATACGTAGAATTGGGCTTCTCTAACTTTGCGGCTACTTCTCAGTTCTAGAAAGGACTTTCTTCTGGCCAATTAGCTCTGTTTTTTACATTTTTCTCTGATTTTCTCCTCACCTCTACAACCATCTAAGTGTTTCATGTTTCACTTCCCTTTCACTTTATCTTTCCTTTGCTCTCCCTCTTCAACAATCAAGGACATTTGTTAATTGCTCACAATATGCTCATACATATTTATAAGTCCACACCTCCCTATCCCTTTATTATCCCTAGGGCAGTGTTGTCCAATAGAAATATAATTAGAGCCACATATGTAAAAAGAAACAGGTTAACTTAATTTTAATAATTTTATTTAACCCAATATATTCCAAATTTTATCATTTCAACATGTAACCATTCTTAAAAACATTAATGAGATATTTTACGTTCTCTTTTTGATACTAAGTCTTTGAAATCTGCTATGTGTTTTACAACTACAGCATCAGTTTGGATGCTAACCGCTCAAACCTCAAAAATATGACACAATCAAGTTGGGTTTCAGTAAAAGGATTTTATGTTATTTCAGTTTTTAGATTTGAATGAAATAAAATGTAAAATTCAGTTCATCAGTTGCACTAGCCACATTGGCCTAGGGGCTGCAGTATTGAACAGTGCAGGTCTAGGGTCTTCTATAGTGGTGTTTTTTCATTCTGTGGCTTGAGAGGATACCACGCTCATTTTAATGAGTTTGAATGCTCTACTTATTGAGGGAATTTGTTTTTCTTTGGAGTATTAAAGGAGGTGAGGTATGACAAAGATGATCATAAAAACATCCTAAGTTTCTCTGAACCAACATACAAAATTTAGGACAAGACAGAGGACGGAGCTGTAACAGTTTTGGAAGGGAAACGGGGAGGAGAAAAAAAAAGACAGGCCGGTTTTGGTGCCCACCCCTGGTTGAACACTATTTCTTTTTTAATTTATTTTATTTTTGGCTGCTTTCGCTGCTGCACGCGGGCTTTCTCTAGTTGCGGTGAGCAGGGGCTTCTGTGCGGGCTTCTCACTGTGTTGGCTTCTCTTGTTGTGGAGCACGGGCTCTAGGTGCATGGGCTTCGGTAGTTATGGCCCGTGGGCTCAGGAGTTGTGGCTCGCTGGCTTAGTTGCTCCACGGCGTGTGGGATCTTCCCAGACCAGGGCTCGTACCCATGTCCCCTGCACTGGTAGGTGGATTCTTAACCACTGCACCACCAGGGAAGCCCCGAATGCTCTTTGACGATAAAGAAATTCTATAGCTGTCAAGCTGCCAAGAGAAAAAAAAAGATGTAAAATAGGCCAGAATAGCGAGAGAGAAAAAGTTGAAAAGTGGATTTGCCTGTTCTCAGAAGAGCAAGAGGAGTATTGTTTACAAAAAAGTGCTTATAATATATTTCTGTGGAGCTCTCCTCCTGAAGGCCTCGGGATGCCATACAAATGATTATTCACTTACATAAGCAACTTTGACCCAAAAAAATTTCCAAGTGTCCTCACATTGAAAGGTAGGACATAACGTTATTTCACTCACCCATGGTTACTTCTCACAGAGCTATCGTTTGCGTGATCCATAGAGGGTTGGCATTCTTCTTACACAGACTAGACTCCATTTAAGGCAATATAAGCTCTATAATCATCTGATAATAATACTTAGTCTTCAATTCGTCATGCAAACGAGAAAGTCAACAGCAGTGGGCAGACAGGCGCTGTGTTCAAAGGAATCCTCGGGCCAGAGCCTAAACAGTGCCTGAGTGGGGACAGCTGTGGCCACAGCACTCAGCGCGCTAATCTGCTCGTGCCCCAGTGGAGAAGGTGGGGGGTGGAAGGGCAGGACAGACTTGATAGACATCCTCTCGCCACTTCTTCCAGCGCAGTTGCTTCCTCTGTCCTTCTGATACCCCCAGTGTGTCCCATGGTGCTACCAACTTTTTTTTAACTGAGAGAATCCTAAAGATTGATGACGGCAAATTCTAACTCTGCTTTCTAAAGCTTAGAAGAGTACGTTCTATACTTTCCCTTTTTTTTCCCGATAAGTGGAGGTGAAGCTTGCTAATCATGAGAGCCCAGGTCCTCCAGAGATGAGTTCTCAAGGTTCTGTTTTGTTCTCAGGATTAGAGGAACTCCTGATAATAAGAGCGATCAGGCTCAATTTCAAGTCAGCAAACATTTATTGACCATCTATTACTTGGTATAGTAGAAAAAGCATTCAAAATTCAACAAGCGCTAACAGCACACCTACTATGTGCTTAGTCCTGAGCTACGCCCTGGTATAGTAATAACAATCACGATAAATAAATGTTTTAATGGCACTAGGAACTATACTAAACACTGTAGGTATTCTTATAATTCCCATTTTACACAATAGGTGACTGAGGCCCAGAAAGATGAAATAACTTGCCCGTGTTACAAAACATAATTTTCTTATTTCACCTAGATGTGAAATGACTTTCCAAAGGTCACACAACAGGTAAGAAGTGGAACAAGGTAATCTAGCCCCAGAACCCCACACTCGAGCTTTAGAGTTAAATAGGTTCGGAGTTGAAGCCCACCCTCTCCACCTACAGCTGTAAATTACTTAACCTTTCAGAGTCCTAGTTTCATCACCTGTAGATGGAGATAATGACATGGACTTTCAGAACTTTATAAGGATGATACATAATGCCTATATGTGATTAGCTCAGTGCCTGGTAGACAATATCATTGTTAGGGATTCATTAGTTCAAGTGCATAATCACTCAGTATGCACCTGGTATGGCCATCCCAAGTGTTAAAACCTTGAAATTCTTCCATGCCAGTTGGCAGAATCTCTTGAGTGCCCCCCTTCCAGGCCACGCAGCCCCTCCTGTAGGAGCCTGCCCATAACCCCCAGCACTGTAAGGGCCTCCAGGACTCTGTCCTGATGGTCAGTGCCTGTATCCTACAGTTGTTAAATATTTTCACTATATCTCCTGGCTACAAATGAGATGGGCTCCTGCCTTTGATGAGAGCACAGTTTGGGAGGGGCCCTGGGCACGACAGGAGAAAGTAATGAAGACAGTGATGAAGGAGTCTGCTTCCACTGTGGAGGATGGAGCAATGCCCAGCTCAGGTGGGTCTGGAAGGCTTCCCCCGAGGCTTGCTCTATCAGTGACCTGTTTGGGTGGGTGAAGGCATCCCAGATCATCACTAAAGTTCCTTTTGTCTCTAGGCTTTTTCATTCTTGCTACCTCCACCTGGTTCAGACCTTTATTACTCTTTGCCTAAACTCCAGCAAGAGCTTTATAATTAAGTGGTCCCCTTTATAATTAAGTGGTAATTAAGTGTACTGACCTTTCTAGAATGCATTCTGAGGTTCTCTTACTCAACAACTTTTAGTAGCTCCCTGTAGGAAGCCCCACCTCCTCATTGAGGCATCCACAACCCACTACCATGTAACCCCAGCTTCTACTTCCAGTCTTTTCCACTTGCTGTAGGTGCCTGGTATCTCTGCCAAATGAGGTGTTCCCTACAATGGACTCTGTTGCTCCTGCTGGTTGGAACTTGTGGAGCCCACCTCAGGGTTTTTCAACACCCACCTCAAATACAACTACTTTCTCCCATCTATGTTCCTTCCTTCCCCAGCCTCTTTTTCCACCCCAAGTCATGTGAGGAGTGATGTGTTCTAATAGCTGGCATCCGTTGCTAGTTTATTATGTGTCAGGCTCTTCTAAGAGCTTTGAATGTGTTACCTTGTTTTTTGCTCACAAAAGCTCTAAGAGGTAGACACTATTATTATCTCTATTTTAAGATAAAAACAGTCCAAGACAAGTGAAGTAATTTTCCAAAGGTCACACAGCAAGTAAAAAGTAGAGCTGGGATTCCAACTCAGGAAGCTTGTCTTCAGAGCCTGAGCTCTTAGTGTTTTATAGTGACGGCCAGCTCTCAAAGAAAGAGAAAACAGAAGAAAAAATTTCTCATGTTATTACTCAAAACACATGGCTTGCCTTTGTAATTACTTGTGTTGTTATTTTATCTCCTTCTTTACGCGAGCTGAAAATTCCTAGAGGGGAGAGATTCTGGGTCTCATGAACTGGTGTCTGTTATCGTCATTAAGTTGTGGGAATAGATAATTACTGAGCCATCACATCCTTTGGGGGCCTCCTGATTATGAATTAGCCATAATCAAGCCCACCTTTCACTAATAGTTTTCCTAACTAAATACACTACTTGGCCAAACCCTGATGCAAGATCAGGCCAGTGTTCCACGTGGACTCCAAGAAAACTGTGTTTAGTTTTGGTTTTTTTTTTTTTTTTTTGCGATACACGGGCCTCTCACAGCTGCGGCCTCTCGCGTTGCGGAGCACAGGCTCCGGACGCGCAGGCTCAGTGGCCATGGCTCACGGGCCCAGCCGCTCCACGGCACGTGGGACCCTCCCGGACCGGGGCACGATCCCGTGTCCCCTGCATCGGCAGGAGGACTCCCAACCACTGCGCCACCAGCGAAGCCCCTGTGTTTAGTTTTATAACTCAGATTGTTGCTGAGAGTTGTCATTCATCAGAAGATGCTGCATAATAGAGCAGATATGTATGTGATTTCTCCTTTTTAGAGTTGGATAAATTAAAGCATCCTAAGGTTATTTACCAGAGTCATCGGCAGGTTTGTGGTGGAGCTTAGGTTGGACTAACTCAAACTGACTCTCCAGGAACCCAGTCTAGGACCCTGGACAACCCTGTGCTGTAAGGATCAGTAAATAGACTAAGTTGTTGATTGACCAGAAAATTCCGCAACACTCTTCCCCTATATTTTTACCTTGACACAAAATAAAATTATGACATCATGATGGGAATACAGGACTTCTCTATTTGTATTTTTAGAACTTGTTAGATTTTTCCAAGGGTGGACTGGTCAGTCCTCGTGTTGAAGAAAAATCATTGTGGAGAACGTGTACCACCTTTCATTGTAACTGATGTGACAACTGTGTTGGTTCTAGAATCTAGAGAACAAAGTGATAGATGCTAGCTTTAGTGGAGAACCAAAAAGTTTGTACGTAGACACAAAGCCTTGATAAGCAGTCAGAAACTTTGGAACTTTTAGAACCCTCTTTTTCTTTCTTCGGTGTTAAAACTGACAGGTGCTAACGAGTGTATGTGACTCTAGAAGGCAAGGGATTTATCCAAAATTAATATCTGCTAAATATCTTGTAGTAACACTATTTGTTATCCAAGGGTATCCTGTGCCACGTTTTGCCATCATCTCCATTTCTATCGGGTTGCCCCGGAGCTTACGGGTGTGTGACGCCTTGCAAACGGTGGCGGGGGAGGGAGGAGTGTTGATCAGGGAAGGATCAGGACTTTATTGCAGAGCAAAGTCCACCACCATACTCGGATGAAAGTTCGAATGGTTTAGTTCGCTTTGGTTCCGGCAAGTAGCGCACAGGCCAGCAAGTTTAAGTACAAACAACACCGTGACCATCCAGGCCCCCGCCGCTCGGAGCACTGGCCCCGACCCGCCGGTCAGCGGTCGCGCGCGTCGCCCCCTTTAAGAGCCTGCTCCGCGGGACCAACGTTCGAATGGCCCTGGTGCCCCTCCTCGGTCTCCGATTGGCCGCGCGAGGCGCACGAGGGCGCGCCGATCGGCCCCGGAACGGTTGGCGGCCCTTCGCTATTGGCTGTCGGGAGGCCTTTATAAGGCGCCCGGAGGCCGGACTGCCCTCAGTTAGCGACCCGACCCCAACCTGGCTGCCAAGCTTAGGTGGGGAGGGCGCAAGCCTGCGAGCGCGTCGCCGGAGCCGTTTCTATTCGGAGTCTTCAGAGATCCAGGTTCCACTCCCGGGGCGGACTCGTTGACGCCTATCGTTCCCGTCTCAGCTTCGGAAGGTGGGTCGGGGCTCACTCCCTCTCCTCCGCGCCAGCCCTGGGAAGGCGAGGCAGGATGGAGTTCAAACTGGAGGCTCACCGCATCGTCAGCATCTCCCTGGGCAAGATCTACAACTCGCGGGCCCAGCGCGGCGGTATCAAGCTGCACAAGAACCTCCTGGTCTCGTTGGTGCTCCGCAGCGCCCGCCAGGTCTACCTGAGCGACCCGTGCCCCGGACTCTACCTGGCCGGTCACCCGGGGGCCCCGGCGCTGCCGCAGCAGCCTGGGGAGTCGGTGTCCGGGCCACCCGCGTGCTGGGGGGAGCCACCTCCGCCGGCCGCCTGTGCCGCCTGGCCGGAGCCCGAGCCCCAGCTGGCGCTTCCTGCCGTCCTAGAAGTGCCACGGGCGGGTGACGCGGAGCCCGCAGCCCCGGTGACGGGCGCCGGGGACACTCT